AACAGACACAGACAAGACACACAACAAACACCCCATAGCCTTAAACACACAGCTAACCACTCTACCAAAGACTACCTTACCACTCTTGTCCTCGACCTTTTAAGTCTTCTATCTATTGTCATGCTCTGGGTGAACAACCTCATACCTTGTTTAGTCACCTCACTCTTACTCTTCCTAATGTCTATCTTTACCCCTCCTCATATTTCCTACAACCAACATCTCGCACCCCCTCACATGAGCCTCGGAGCTTTTCCTCTGCACGTGCCTAGATCATCTCAATCTAACTTCATGCATCTTGCCTTCGGAGAGAGCCACCCCCACCTTCTCCTAGGTAACATTATTCCATACCATATCCTTAAAGTATGCTCGCTCATCATCCTCATATCCACTGCCTTCATATTCTACACACAAGTGTTCTTAACATAACTTCAAAAGGCGCTAGGCGGTCAAAAGGCAAACATGCGGTGTGTGTGTGTGTGTGTATGTGTGTGTATATTTAAACACTTTATGTATAAATACTACCTCACTCGCAGTGTATTCGTCCAGAGACGGACTTTGGACCTCAATTAAATAAAATTGTAATGTACGGAGTATATTAGTATAAAAACAATCTCATTAGATTTATCTTGTTCAGAAATTTCAAACTTTTATTTCATTGTATTAATATGTAATACAAATTGAGAGCAATTGATGACTAAAGTTTGTCCAGTTTGACTTTTCGAGTCAAACTGGATGAATATACTAGGAAGGATGGAGTATAGCTATATGCCTATATATAGGTTTGCCTCCACACATCCAATCTTGCATTGACTCGCTCACGTGTTGCATGAATCAAAAGGATATTGTCTGCAAAAAGCATGCACCAGGCACCAAGGCTAAAAAAGGACTAAGAGCGGTCCTCTTCTGTAGCCTCATTAGAACAGGAAAAGGGTTAGAATCTCCTCCTGGGTCTTGGCTCCACCGTACATGTGCTTGATCGCTCTAATACATGAAAGTAACGCAAAAGCACCACCATTAATCCTCCTTGGGAATTCTATCATACTGTTTCATACGCCTTCTTTAAATCAACAAACACCATGTGTAGGTCCCTCTTCCTATCTTGTTGTTGACGATGTTGTTGTTGATGCGGTTACTCTCATTTTTAAATTTGAAGTGAACATTTTTCCACACTATCCTCTAATCAAGAAGATTGAGGGGTCATACTTAGACGATTATCTGAGAATCGTTTAAAGTATTGTACATTTTGATATTATGCTTAGAAAATTGTGTGAATGATGAATGATTACACAACGGTATGTCTAAATCGTGCTTTAATGTGTATACTGCCTCCCATTTGTCCCAAGTCGTTGTCCAATCTTGACTTTTTGCAGTAAAAATTGTCAAAGTTTGACCATAATTTAAATAAAATTAGTACAAAAATTAAAACTTAGTATTAGATATTGATACAGAAATAATTCAATTAGATTTATCTTGTAAAGTAATTTCAAAATATCGTTTTATCTAGTTAATTTACCATATAATTTTTATTTAATCATTGGTCAATGGTTGACTGCTAAAAGTTAAATTTGGACAAACACTTTGGGACGGAGGGAGTATTAATTATTGCATGATCTATTTAGAGGGTTGGGTCTCCAGTTCTCCAGCCTAAGCAATAGATAATTCCTATTACTTTGTAATTGTTGTCCAAACACTGAAGAGCAATTCACTGATTTCAGGAACACAGTGCTGATGAGATAGCTGAGAGCATTCATCAATTTGTTTCTTCCTTACCCAAACCCATTAGACAGTCTGAGGAAGAAACAGTGCCGGAGCATGTTCAGAAGATGATCAACGAAGCACAAGACACTGGTCACGACGACAACCACCACCACAATCATGGGCACGAGCACTATAATGCCCATCATGGTCATGCCCATGCCGGATATATGGATGCATATGGGCTTGGGCATGGATGGGCCATGTGATTGGGCGGGCTTTATTGCTCAGAAACTGGACTCTGTTTCTCGTCGAAGCCCGACTTCTTTTTCCCGCCTTTTTTTTTTTAAAAGAACCTTGCATTAATTCACATTGTCGACACGTAATGTGCATCCCAGATACAAGTTGGAGGGACAGACACCCACTCCAGAAAATCAGACATAGAATCAGACTACCCTCACCATCAAATGAGCAACTCGATTCCCTCTTTTAAAATGATACTTGTTGTGCAAGAACTGTTATTGTAGCTTGGAAGTGAAGATCATGCAAGTGCTGTGTTGCTTGGAGCACCATTCTGTGTCCACTCTCACAAGGTAGTTTATCGTTTTTGTAAGGCTCCTAACAGTTACTATTTTCTCTTTTCCTCTCTGTAATCACTGTCTGCCGCTTCTTCATGACTGCTCTGATTTGAATCCCCTTTGCATCCTTTCACCATCTAATTTTACTTGAGTATATTAAAGGGTTTCTTTTTTTTAAGATTTAAAATTTCTTGTTTTGGGAATATATCACATATTAGGTCGGAGCATTGTTAAGTGGGCTAAGCAGTCGTCTAGGCGCGAGGCAGTGCCTAATCGCCCTGATGACGACTCAAAAATTGTTTTGAGTGTTCGACTTTGGTACCAAATGGGGTATTTGAGGTTGACAATAGCATCTCCAAATTCGCTATTGTAGCGGACAATTCGATGAGCAATAGGGAATTTGGTTGATTTGAACTAACATTATTTCAAATGTATCCCTAATTTGGATTTGGATATGACATTAGTACCATGTGTTTATGAATTTGATTTCAACCCTAATTTAGTAGTTATGCTTCTTAAACACCTATCCAGTTGTCAAAAACATACAGTACTAAAAGAAAACCACATGAATAAATGAAAAAGTGTCAAGTCGATGAACTGTATAAGTATATATGCATTAGCTTGCTATGTAATTATAATATTAGGATTTCATTTTGTTTAGTATAATGCTATTTGTCATTTAAACAAAATTAGTTTATATTATTCCTTCTGTTTTTCACAGATCTTCCAGACATTATTCACATGATCAAATTGAACTCACTTTGTTTGATTATTTTTATTACTCATTTTATAAAATACGGAGTAATATAGTCTTGTCATCTCTTGTTTTCTACGAGTAGAACTTTTCATGAAGTTTTTTTTTGTTATATATGGAGTAATGTTTATTTTTAAATTTGATACCTATAATCAAATAAATTGAATTGAAAATAAAGTTCATCAAATTTCGTAGCACGTAATGAGAAAATCTATGAGAACAGAGGGAGAATAATTTAAGATTCTTTAAATTTGCCCATCAATTTGAAAATCTTTTTCACTGAATTGTGTAAGTATAATCTTTTTCAAAGAAGCGTGTCTGGATCTTAAAAACGAGTCAATATTTGCTGCAACGTTGGTTGTTTAAAATTACAAATGTTGCACATCAGCATATAAAACAAAACAGTGCCTACTTCATTTGTACATTAGGCAAACACAAATACTTAATTTCTGTGGTCACATATTGTACAAATGAGTTATCCTATTTTCGTCCACCCTTGCCATTTCCCATGAAACCACTTTTTTACATGGAATGCAAAACAGATTAGTGGGCGAGTCAAAGAGCACTGCGTTCTTTAGTCCATTCCAGGCCAGCTTTATAGTTGAACGGTCTACTTTCCACTCCTCTATATATTCACATGATACCGTATACGATAGTACCAATACCTCTACATTATCTGACCTCGATATGCAAAAAAACATTGTGTTATGATATAAATTATGTAATATTATTAGATTTCTTTTGAAATGTAGTTTTGAAATGTCAGTTATTTATAAGGGGACATTTTCTCTATGTGCTAGTATTATTGGTTTATAACTTATAAATAGACATTAACTTATAAGCCGCTTATAAGCCAAATATTTATTCATATAAATAAAATGACTTAAATGATAGATAAGTCATTTGAGAATATTTTCATTAATGATGAGAAACAATTTTGTAAATAATCTGGTCAAAGTAGAGAAACAAAAAAATAGTCTTAAAAATAAATAGGTAAGATCTGCTTATTTTTTCTAGCTTATAAGAAGTTTATAAATTAGCTTATATACCTAGAGAAACATGTCATCAATTAACTTATATGTTAAAATTACTTATTAGCAGTTTTGATCAGCTTATAAACATTTTGACCAGTTTATAAGTACAAAGAAACATCACAAAAGGTGTGTTCTCTGTGCACGTACGTGCTTATTGCTGATAGGTATCCCATAGTTTTTAGCTTATAAATTGTTTATAAATTAAACATTCTTTTGTGTAAATAGAATGGCTTAAACGATAGATACCTTATTTGAGAATTGAGAGTATTCATAAATGATGAGTAATAGTTTTAAAAATAATATGGAGTTTTCATTGCTGCTCAATAGTGAGAATTTTTTTCTCTCAACCACTCAGTATGTAATATCAATAGATTCTTTTTGAAATGTAAAATTGAAATATCATATACTCCCTCCGTCCCGGAGTATTCGTCCAGTTTTGACTTTTAGAACTGTTCATTTAAGCACTTTGACTCATCAAATTCTCTCAATGTGTAAGCCTAAAAATAGTCATGTGTGATCTTGTTTGATTCGTCTTAACATATAGATTATTAATTTATAATTTTTATAATTTTTTAATATACAAATTACAAGATAAAATGGATTAAAGAAGTGCATTGGATGGTGTGCAAAAATGAAAGTGGACAAATACTCTGGGACGGATGTAGTATTTATTTATAAAGGGGGTGTTTTCTCTATGTGTTGGTGTTTATTGTTTTGTTGCTGATAAATAATTTTTAATTTATAAGTTGCTTATAAACTAAATATTTGTCGTGAAAATAAAATGACTTAAATAATAGATAAGTCATTTGATAATATTTTCATATACAGTGAAAGATAATTTTGTAAATAATTTGGTCAATATAAAAAACTAATTTAAAAAGAGTAGTTAAAACTTCTTTAATGGCTTATAAATTTAATTTAAAAATTGATTCATGAATCAAAGAGACAGCCACAAAAAGTCGTTGCGAGTTCCTTTGGATGCTCAATAGTTCGGGCCTCGGGGGGTCAAAAATTGGATATTGTGTTGAAGAAGGCGAGCTCCTTTTCCGGGCATTTTGAAGAAAACCTGAAACCCTCGAAACGCCTCCCCTTTCGTCGGCTTTCACGACGAAAGCCTACTGCGGAGACGCCGCGATGTCGGCCATGAATTCCAATTTCCCAGCTCTGCAATGCGAGGACACTCTCCGTGCGATCCTGGAGAAGCTCCCGGTGCCTGACTTGGCCCGCGCCGCGTGCGTTTGCTGGCTCTGGAATACGGTAGCCTCCGACCGGGATTTGAGGATCCGGGCATTCATGGCTCCCTGGAAGCTCAAGAACATCATCGGAAACCCTAGCTCTGGTACTTTCTGGAAAGACAATTGCATCTCCAAATTCGCCATTTCTCATCCAATTGCCCGCTCTGATAGTGTTTCTAGCCTTGCTGTCAAGTACTCTGTCCATGTATTCTCTCTCTCTCTCTCTAGCTTGCTCTCCTCCTTTATCTTTAGGTAATCCATATGAATTAAACATTTGATTAGACGGAATCAAACAAATTAGCAGTTATTGAAGGTTGATTGCAAGCTAAAGGTACTGTATAAATGTGAGTATATTCATGAAATAATTGCTCGTTATATGGTTGAACTGTTGGAATTTATTGAGCTTAGATTTAGGTCAAACAGATTTGTTGTTCTACTTCTTTGGTTCTGAATAACTGTGATCTTCTGCGAATTGGAGTAACTTCAAACTATTCGAATATTCATTGTATTTTCATACTTTGCTTTAGTTCACAATTTTAGTTCAATGAAGAAGGAATGACGAGGAATAAATTTTTGAGAGGAAATATTATGCATTTGAAGTTTATGATGTAGTTGGCTAGAATGCATTAGCATATTAACATATACCACATATAGTTACCCCGAATTTCCTTCCTTGGTTGTAGCGCTGAAATGGTATATGATTGTTTGATTGAGCAAAATTGTTGATCAGTTTAGTGTGCAAGCTATTTAGAATGTCATGCATCTCTTCATACCTAAACATGAATGCTTTCTAGTTTTTTTAACATACGTTGCAAACTTTACAATTGTCACTTGTAAGCTTAATCACCAAAGAGGAGGATTATGAATTTGGCCATCCATTGTAAGTGGTCTTAGGTATTATTCTTCTCAACTGTTATAGAATCAAGCATTGGTCATGTTCTACTATTTTCATGTTGGTCTTGCAATATAAGACATGTATTGCACATGTCAATAGCAAATATCTCTGCCCGTTGTTATCACATGGTAGTTTCCATGCATGTGGAAATGTCATATGATGATGACGGTCTTAGAAGTTTAGTCTCACTCTTCCTTATTCCATACTGAGTTGTTTGGAAGGGCATCCAACATAACATTGCTGATAATGTTTTTTGCATGAATTGGATGTTCAAACTGTGAATTAGTTTTATAAAATTAATTGGCACTATAATATAATGCCACCAGCTCAGTTAGTTTCGATTTAGGCGCTAAAGGCGATGGTGACTTAAACATGGAGCACATCGATAAACATCCAATATCCAAGGGCAACCAATAGTTTCTTTTTTTTTCCAGTAAATATAAATATACAATATCGAGTTTTACTTCAACTTTTATGAAGGAAACACTTGAACATATTTTCAAAATATTTTCATTCTTATTGTGTGAAGGTTATGGATATAAAACGTTTGAACAACATGATTAGTGACCATGGAATATACTCAAGGGAGAGGTTACTCATCCCCATTAGCAATCGTGACGTGCTGATTGATGGGACATGCTATGTGGAGCTGGATTCCTATGCAAAAAGGGAAGTGGCAGTGCTGTATCTTGAGGGAGGCCCTATTGGAAAGCCTAAATGCCTGTCGAGAGAGTTCGCTGCATCTGGACATGGTGAAAGAATGGTGATTGACTCCCTGAGGAGGAGCATGCAAGTTGATGATGGGACTGCTCAGTACTACTTGGCAGTGTCCAATGGCGATCCACGAACAGCCATTGCACAATTTTCAGATGATCTAAGGTGGGAAAGGCGGGTTGGGCTGGCTTGATTTTGGCATCAACTATCTGTGTTGTTTCAGATATGCAACATCATCCTCATTTGAAGTAAATCTGGAAGAATCCCATGGAGGGCGAATTTCTGATTCGATCAAAACACCAGAGCAGGAAAGTCCTTTATGCCATTCTTGTCTCTCCTGACCTCCCTAGGGCTGATATTGTACTCTCAAATATAATGTATTTCGATTCTGTGTATTGTTTCTTGTCTAATGTTTGACATGTCTGAATTGACATGCAGATTGAAGCTCATAATATGTAATTAAGTAAGTTAGTTGAATAGAAAATGACGCATCAAATATCGTTTGTCGAATCAAGAACAGTATACAGGAACAGAGGGAGTATAACAAAAGGTAGATACAAGCATGATTAATATTATGTAAGGAAGAATTGTGATTTTTTCCCATGACTATTATGAAATTACAACATTTGGAATCCATGTTTTGATTCTGCTTGTATGTGTGACAAGGTGGATGGACCTTGTTACCTTTTGCACAAATTAGTTAACAAATATATTGTTAATAGAATGCTACAGGTAGTGTCTTGTTGTACGAATAAGGATATTGTTCTTCTATGTTTTAACTCTTAGCTTCGAATAATATTCAATTTCTTTCAGTTTTTTTCAACTCTTAATCTTTCTAACGTCTTTCAGTTTTTTGCAACTCCTAATTTTTCCATCTCCTAGTTTTTTCTAACGTCTTTTAGTTTCTTCTAATTCTTTCCAAATTTTCCAATTCTTAGTTTTTTCTAACGTCTTTCAGTTTCTTTAAATTTCTTCTAATTTTTCCAACTCTTTCTCCTTTCTTCCAAGCTCATAATATGTAATTAAGTAAGTTGAATAGACCAACTCTTTCTCCTTTCTTCCAATTATATTATTCATTACTCCGTATAACATTACCAGAGTATGTAGAATATGAATATTAAATTATAAGAAGTTTTTTTTTTGGATTTTTTATTTAATTATTTACTCCGTAAATATTTGTTTGAGATGAAATTAATTCTTTTTTTGTCATGTCATATAGTAGTAGCATTCAAAAAGAAACCCGAAACTTCTAAATTTAACAAATTATTGTTAATAAAATGCTAAGAGTAGTAACTTGTTGTATGGCTAAGACTCTATTCTTTTATGTTTTCTTTCCGGGTTACTGTGGAGTACTTTTTTTTTGAAAACATAGAAATCACTTCATTCAACCAAAAAAGGCCGTACAAAATCAGGTGGAGTCACAAACCAAACCCCAGCCTCCATCACAACTCTTTTAGCCAACACATGAGCTAACACATTAGATGTCCGAGGGACAAACGACAAAGTAGCATAATTAAACTGAGATAACAAGCCTCGACAATCACTAATAACCGAACCAACATAAGACAAAAAATAGACTCTCCATTTATTGCTTCCACAACCCTAGAGCAATCCGAGAACACCTCCAACTCCGTAAGTCCTTGCTCCCTCGCCCAACCCAAAGCCCTTCTACATGTCATCGCCTCCGCTAAACTTGGATCAGTCTCACATACTAATTCTCCATTCAACGCAGCAAAGAAAGAGCCATCATGGTTAAAGAGAACACACCCAAAGCTAACCATAGAAGAAGGGGGGAATAAAGCTGCATCCACAAACAATTTGAAAGCTCCTGATCTTACCGGCCTAGGAGATGGTAAAGGCAGCCCAACCACCCGACTAGAAGCACTCCTAAACCAACTTTTTTGAGTTTCAGTAACAAGACATACCGTGCTCGAGGGTGTAGGAACTTGAAACCGCCAAACTGCAGCATTGCGGGCTTTCCATAACGCCCAAATAGCCAAAGCAAACAGCTGCAACTCTGACCGAGAGGTTGTCTGCACCACCTCTCGAAACCAGGAATGAGCCGAAGTGCTCCCTTCACGAATAACACGCAGACCCAACCGGGCCCAAATTGTCACCGCATAACGACAGTGAAGGAATAAATGCTCAATCGTCTCCTCACCCAAACCACAAATAGGACATACATTCACAATGTTAAGTCCCTTAGTGTTAAGGTTAGAGATGGTTGGCAAAATATTTTTTAATTCTTTCTAGTTTTTTTTATTTTTTTATTTTCTTCTAATTCCTTCTAATTTTTCTAACACATTCTAGTTTTTTGTAATTCTTTTACATTTTTTCATTATCTCCCAACTCTTTCTAATTTTTATAACACCTTCTAATTTTTTGTAACTCTTTCTAATTTTCTAAGTCTTTCTAATTTTTTTCAACTTTTTTTAATTTTTCCCACACCCAACTCTATTTTTACCACCTAACAAACAAAGCTTAATTGTAAGTAGGGACGTAAATGAATTGAATATTTTTTGTTCGATTTGTGATTCGTATTCGTTTAAGGTGATTCGTATTCGATTTTTTCGAATCCGAATACGAATACGAATCTGAATAAATATTCGAATCCTTATCGAATACGAATATGAATCAAGGGTATTCGATTCGTGAGTTTGACAAATATATTCGGAATATAAATCTAATTATACAAATTGTACAAATTATATATATATGTGTGTGTGTGTGTGTGTGTATATCAAATGGTTATAAAATATTTTAAATGAACTGAATAATTTTAAACGAACCGAATATATTTAAACGAACTGAATATGTTTAATATATTAAACGAACCGAATACGAATCTTAAAAAATATTCGAACCGAATTCGAATTCGAATATCACTCCATCTTAACGAATATGAATATTTTTCATGAATATTCGATTCGATTCGATTCGGTTCGTTTACAACCCTAATTGTAAGTGTGGATCAACTTTTTAGGCATTAAGCATACGCGTTATGTGACTATATGAGCGAAACTCAAGTCGATCTATAAATATGAAAAAATAAAGTTGGTTGTGTGCAAAATTTATGAGTTGGACCCAATTTTTTCCCAGAATACTTGTATTTTAAAATTAGTCCTGAATTTAATTTTTAGTAACCACATTTTTAACAATTTGAAAATTAAAATATAAGTTTATGGAGTATTAAATTTAAAAATATCAAATACTTAGAATAATGAATTTTATAATATGAGGCCGTAAAGATTTGGAGTCATATGCACGTGGACACTTTGCACACCCTCGCGGGTGCCCATGGAGAAAATGGTATGTGTTCAAGATTAATGTATCTCCTTTTTAATAGGAAAACTTAAAACTTGGTGTTATGGAGTATTTTTAATTACTCCGCTAGTACATTACTCCCTCTATCTCGTATATTTTTAGTTTGGCTTGACACGATTTTTTAACGAAATAAAATTTGTGAGCTTATAGTTTGCTTTAGAGCTGGCAAATTGGTCAGTCAGGTCGGGTTTGGGTTTGAGCACTTCAAATTCGAGTTGAGAACAATATGTTCATGACCCAGTATCATCGAGTTCGGGTTGACCCAACGGGTTATGACTTTTGTTTTTTAAATTTTTAAATTAACTTTAACACTTACATTTTCTATTAAATAAATTGAAAATATCAAAAAATATTAAATCTATAAAATTATTTTATTTTAAACTCTAAAGTAATTTTTAGATATATAAATCAACATAAGGAATTTAAAAATGTTTAAGTTTTGGAAAAAAGAAAGATAATTATGCAATATCATTAAAATTTTGTCTGAAAATATAAATTTATACACTAAAAACGAGTAGTAAAGTGTATTATTTTAAAAAATTCTTACTTTCGCGGGTCGGTCATGTCGGGTTTGGGTTCGGTCGAGTTTGACCCCATTTTTAGCGGGTCATTTCGAGTTCGGTCAACTTCGGGTCTAGTCATCAAAACCTTTGTTCAAAACCCAGTGTTTTCAGGTCAGGTTTCGAGTTAAAAACAGATCGGGTTATTTTTTGCCAGGTCTAGTTTGCTTAGAAGAAAAGTAAATGATTAACACCACATAACTTTTATCTTAAAAGGAAAGTAGATTTTTGTAAGACGATTCAAATAAAATTGTAAGAAGATAACTATAGGATGGATAGAGTTTTTATCTAGGTAGGAGGTTTACTCACACTATGACTCTAAACGGTCATAGTAACAAGGTTTAGATCATAACTAAATACTCTATATCTCTCAAATTAAGTTGTCTTTAACTATTCACATAGTTAAATTTTAATTAGATTTTTTTATTCATTTCCGTTACTCATTTGAAAAAATTATATAGTCATGTCAATTCTTGTGTTAAATATATCAATTATTTAATATATTTAATATTATATATTATAATTATGGTTGTTACCTATTATAGTTAGAGTTATTATTATATAATATTACCTTATATAATTAGCCATTAATGTGGAGGATTCTAGAATATATTCCTTCACCTATAAATACATACTTTGTATTCTTCTTCTATCATTCAATAAATAAAGCGTTCTTTATTATTTTTTACAT